ATATTTCCATGTTCTAGTGGTAGGTTCAATCGATTTTGCTCATCCTACCGATGGAAGTAGCGAGTGGAACAGCAGAGTTGGCACCTTTGAACGCCTGGTCACCCCCCCCCTCCACAAAAAAAAGAAAAAAAGAAAAACCCCGCGCATCCAGCGCACCTGGCCCAGCCCAACCCACATGAGCGCGCGCGCATGTGCGCTTCGCCCGACACATAGCACAACGCAGCGCGCACTGGTGCTGTGCGCCGCAAGTATGATATGAAGGGATGGTCGCTGTTAGCCTCTCCCACGAAAAATGTGATCCCTTGTCTTGTGCTCATCCCCCCCACCCCCTGATTACTTGCCCAGCACGCCGTTGTGACTTCCATGCTTATATAACTGTGCACGTCCGCCTTCCATGCTGATGACATGTCAGCAACATGCCATGTGTCATCCATGTTTCCAGCACGCTGTCATAGAAAGTATGTGGCTTTACTGCGTGGACTATCGCCGGTGCCATCACCCGCCACATCCTTTCCTAGCATTTTCCACATGCGGTGTTGGTCATACACCTACAGCAACCGCAGACGGATCTTCCTCTTCCTTGCCAGACGTACGACAGACACAGCAGCCTGAGGAGGAAAATAGACTTCTATATGAATCACCTACAAAGCGATGTGCTGATAGTTTATCACCACCAGGGCGAGCTGTTGCGGGCCAAATCCTGCAGCATCTGAACACCCTTGCTTTGGACCGATTCTCCCTGCCGTCGTCTTCCCATAGGGCCATAGAGAAGGAATAAATATTAAATACTGAGGAAACCCAAGAAAGATGCTCCATACCGGCTTGTGATGACCCGCCATAGATTCAACTAGCATGTGGTTCGCATGCCTTGTGCCGTGAGGATTATGAAGGGATAGTCCATGCGAGTTTGTGCTTTCATACGTACGACAACAGTCAGTACACCCTGACATGTCATGTCCAATTTGTAGACAGGGGCTGGAACGGCAATGCCTCTATAATTACAGTCGGTGTGCCTCCGCGTTCCTAGCGTGTAGGAGCCACGTAGCCTGTGACATCTGTCTGTGCCGCGCCATTCAATGCAGCAACTGCGACTGCAAAAATTGGATGCGGTGCTTTCACAGTCCACACCCGAACCGGTCCTGTGTCTGTAGGGGTGGCCACTTACCATAGGCGATAGCTGCTCCTCAGCTCAAAATCGTATGCAACCCAAACACTAACTGACCTTTTGTTTTTTTGAAAAAAAGCCTTGGCTGTCTACTAGAGGGGTTGATACGAGCATTCCCCGCTAGTAGTAGCCTCCAGCTGCTAACTGACCTGAGACCTCATGCGCCATTCTAGAGTAGTCTGTTCCAGCGGTGAGTATTTGCCCTTTGTGCGTGTCATACTCTATCCTGCCCTTCACATATTTCTCTCCTGCCCTTTGCACTCCACCTCCCCCTACTACACACTCCCATAGACTTCCTCCTTCTATCCCTTTCCCTCCACCCTCCCCGCACCCTCCCGTTCTGTGATACTAGCAAACACATACGAATGAGCATCGATAAGAGAACAGACGATATGAAGATCAGAAGTGAAATGAACAGGAGTATGAAGACGAAGGACAGACACAAACACTAAGTATAAGCTGAAGATCTGAAGAGAAATGAACAGGAGTATGAAGATCTGAAGAGAAATACACAGGAGCATACCTTCCCTTTTACTCTGCCTCCTTTTATAACGCGCAAGTTGGCCGTTAAGGCACATGGGGATGTGGGCAGCTGCCGCTTATTAACCACCATCAACATGGGCAGCCTTGTAGGTGCGAGGCGCCCCGAAGAAACCCCAACTAAACACAGTCCAAAATGGTTCTATTATGATTCTTGTTGCTTGCTAAAAAGGAGGTGAATTCTTTAATTGTTGTATGCTGGCTCAACTCAAATCTACTCGTCTGGGTGGAATGGGGGCTGTTGCGGTGGAAACTTAAAACACACATAGTTTTGCGAATTTTTTGGCCGTCCAATGCGTCCATCCCAGTAGAAATGGGACTGCAAATTCACGCATGAATGAATTCTGACAGAAACCAGAGCAAGGATATTACCTTCTTCCCCCGAATACAACGTACGGTCATTATAGCTGTATTTGAGGCATCTTTCAGTCTAGATACAGCAATAATGACCGTACGTTGTATTCGGGGGAAGAAGGTAGGTGAAATAGGCTAACTTTAGGCAAGGGTGAAGGGAGAGGTACATCCTTCCAAAAAACGGAAGATATCAATGCCGCCCTCTCAAATCTCCCAACCATAATGAGGAGAAGCGACAAGCAACAGATGGCATGAGTCTAGGGCTTAAGGGCGGGCTAGGTAGGACTGCACTACTGAACTCTTTACTGGCCTGCTCATTCAATCCCCTTCTCCTTGGAGGGCAATCAATGCTGGCAGACCCCATCTTATATGCTTAGACTCCCTAGATCCCCTCAGACTTTCTCATACTTTCGCATACATCTCTCATACATTCTCAGACCTTGTTTGTTGGGACGCTGGACCCATTTTCCAGCAGGTGATGCTCCCCACCAATAGATGGAGCCTCTCCCTAGGTGTTAGTGGTGTCTGCTCTTATCAGCAGCACTATAAAAAAAATAAAAAAAACACTGGCGGGGGTGTTTTTCAACAAAAAAAAGAAAAAAAAGAAAAAAAGAAAAAAAAGAAAAGGTAGATCTGCGGTGCTTCCTGTTGACAGCAGTCAAATGGGATTTAAAAATAAAAATAAAAAACAGGAAAGAAGAAGGAAGCAACAGATGGGTAGGGTTTAGGGTCTAAAAGGTAGGGATAGCTAGAACACCTGCAGTTTTTGTTGAGAGCACTTGAATGGGATGCTGGACCCGGTTTCCAGCTAGCCGAAGCTGGGTAGTGGCCCCAGTTCTCCGGGTTGAGATGTGGAGGGCTTCCCGCCGGCGTCCGAAAAAAAAATATGGCAATAAAATTGATTTAAAAAAAAAAAACAAAGGGACTGCAATACTACTAGTAGGCACCAAAATTCAAAGAATGTTTTTTGAGGGGTGATCCATGACCCTACCAAAGATTCCAAACTCCCTGCCCCCTTGTTTTTTTGAACTTTATAGGGGGCCCAATCCAGAGAACCAGACCCAGACACCAGACTCACACAGCTGGACCCAGACAGTCTGAATGCCTTTCCAGAAGTGGAGATGGTAGGTAATCATGTTCTTAGCCAACATACTAACCTGTGGCTCCATGCTGTCATAGATGACTCGCCATTTGTCCACGTATTCAACAATGTGATTGTCGAGACCTAGAAATGAGTCCATCTGCCACACATGAGAGGGAGGGGGGGGGAGGAGGGGGGGGGGGGTGGAGACCAAGCATAAGCACTGATGTCAGTGGAACTTCACAGTAAAAATCATAACATCATTAAAATGAACACTATGGCCGCAGCCGACGTCCGTGCGCAGAAATTCTCTGTCCTTCTTGGTGTTCTGGTGGGCAGACCTTGCCAGCGGAATGCGTATCGCCCTGCACCAATCATCAGTGGGCTTGGTCCTCCTTTCCTGCCATATGTGGACCGGGTGGTCCTGTGTCGGCAGGGTGGTATTATATGCCATGGGTGACACTAAATGGGTTGGATGCCACTATGCAGGGCAGGGCATACTACGTGGATTCGGTCGTACTATGTGGCCCAGGCTCCAGTCGATATATAATCTGGTTGGGTGGTACCATGTCAGGTGAGTCATAGTATGTGGACCGGATGGCACTGCAGGCTGGCTGGCACATGTTAGGGTAGGGTGCGTCATAAGTGGGCTGAGTCACTGTAGTAGAAACCAGCAAAAGCCAACAAAAAGAAAAGGTAGTTTTAAGAACCCAAGAAAAGCCAAACCCATGTGGCCATCTCACCGCCTTCAAGGCTTCAACTCTTGATGTACAAATCTGTACATGATGGTCGGAGCTCACCGCACAAAACGACGAAAAACAAAAGAAAGAATGGACCCTGCCTCTGATTCCAGGTTCCAACAAAATGGTTAAAAAAAAAAGTTCAAGAAACACGCATATGCAGAGGACGCAGATGCCAAGCAGCGGACCGATACTCGAGCCCATTACCTCTGCATTGCAAAACGGCCGAAACAAAAGCTTATGTACTCGTACAAAATCCGGTGCCCTCTGTTCTGCACACAGTTTCAGTCGGGTACATTCAACCTGCTATGTGCGCAAAATAACAAAACAGTTTCAGTCGGGTCCATTCAACCCGCTATGTGCAATCAGACTCGTTCTCAAACACACTTTTCATGCATGTAAAGAGCAACGCAGCATACTGGCGACATGCGCCCACTCAAAACTCAGAGATATGGCTTTCAGATACGAGTTCACTCTCAATTGGCTATGGCGAATTCAGCGCCCAAACATCTCACTGTTCACATACACGGGATCACCCTGGATATCCCACACGCATCACTCTAACACTCGAGCACACACACACACTCACTACTAACTACAGCTATGGCAGCTATGGCTGCCTCTAACCTATC